TTAACAACCACATTAGCATTACACGTTCTGTGTTAAAAATTGATTGATACTTTCTTCTTAACTTTTTCAATTTTGTCTCTCCCCTCAGAATTCATTAGTTAGAGGCTTAGAGCACTTGGAAAAAATATGATTCATGCAATAGTTGATGCTTAAAATTTTTTAAGCTCGGAATTGATACATGTGACTGTAGGTGGCTGCAACACCTGATCTAATGCTAGCATACATTGACTTTTTTCTTGGCGGTGATGAGAAGAGAAGTGATCTTCCTCCTGGTCTCCACCAAAGATTTCCAATGTCTCTATTATTTGGAGGTGATGGAAGTTACATGACTCCTTTCTCACTCCAGAATGACAACATCATCACCAGTCTCATGAGTCAGGTTTGTCACTTAACTGAAAAAAATTTGCCCAGGGAAGAATGATAATAAGAGAAACATTTTATGCTACACCATTTGCAGAAATCAAAAAGTGTATTTACTCACACTTTTACTTTCAGTCCGTGCCACCTACCACATGGTATCGCTTTGTGGCTGGTTTGAATGTACAGTTGCGCTTGGTACGCCGGGGTTGCCTCAGAGCAAAGTTTCGCCCTGTCCTCAAATGGCTTGAAACTTTTGCCAATCCTGCTTTAAGGATATATGGTATTCAAGTGGATCTTGCCTGGTTTCAAGCTACGACTGACGGTTATTGTCATTATGGACTTTGGGTATATGCTGTTGAAGACGGAACGGACCATGTATCTTTAGAAGGACCAGATGAAGTACCTAGAAGTCAGCAGCATTCACGGTATTGGTTTTTGATAATTTTAGTACACACATATTTAGTCAGATATGAGCACGCACACATTTGAACGTGTCCATGAATAAGTTATGAAGTTCATGCACATACAGATGTATGTCTGGTTTTGGAAGACTTCAATCCTTTTTTTTTTTTTAAATGAAACTGCTCAATCTTATATTAAGTAATGTCTCCAACTGCTGGTACAATAAAATGTGGAATACAATGAGTCGAACAAAAAGAAAAGCGAACCAATGAAACATAGGATGCCAGCTCGTGGGCTACCTATTCCTCTCACAAGGAATATTGCGACAAGTGTCACTTCCAATATCCTGTAATAAGCTAATACTATCACGATGAAGACTTTGATCTTTGCGGGAGACAAAAACCACCTTTATGTTTTGTTTATTATTTTGCCATAACATTATTATATGTTCTGTAGTTTCTGTACAAATTCAAGTTTTTTAGCTACCCTTGTGGTTAGGATGGGGTGGGATTGGTTGCCTTCGTAAATTGGGGTGCTGAGTTTGTGTAAATTCTGATTTGGCAAATATTTGCAACTTTCTAGTTAAGCTGAATTGATTTTTTATTTTGGAAGTTTAATCAATTTGGCATTCAACTCCAACTAAGCTGTACATGTCCTAAATAAATTCATCTTCATCGTCTAGAACTGTCATCCCCACAAAACTTTGTTTTCTGTGCATTTCATACTGCAGATCTTGCGGGAGACAAAAACCACCTTTGTGTTTTGTTTATTATGTTGCCATAACATTATTATATATTCTGTAGTTTCTGTACTAATTCAATTTTTTTAGCCACCCTTGTGGCTAGGATGGGGTGTGATTGGTCCTTTGTAAATTGGGGTGCTGAGCTTGAGTAAATGCTGATTTGGCAAATATTTTCGACTTTCTAGTTAAGCTGAATTGATGTTTTTATTTTGGAAGTTTAAGCAATTTGGCATTCAACTCCAACTAAGCTGTACATGTCCTAAATAAATCCATCTTCATTGTCTTGGACTGTCGGCCCCACAAAACTTTGTTTTCTGTGCGTTTCATACTGCACATCTTGATGATTGTAATCATTTTTCCCTTTCTTCCCAATGATTTTTTAACAAATATTCTTTTAATTCCTTCATTTATTTGTTTATCCTTTGCTGAGTTTTCCTTTTGGGGGGACAGTTTTTGGGAGGTGGCTACCTATTGTTAGTTTAGCAGTATTTGATGTTCTAGTTGCGACTTTCCTGTGTTGCTGTCACTTGTCAGGACAATAAGGTTGGAAATTGATTGAAGCAATTTAGATAGATGAATTTCTTTAGGTGGGATTTTTTGCATATTCTCATGACCATCTTCCGTGTATTTAGACTTTTGAGGTTGATGCATATGATGGCAGGTTATTTGGTTTTCTTTTTTGAATGCAATATGGACTAAAATGAAAAAAATAACCAAAAATTTCTAAATATCTATGCGTTTTGATCTTATTTCTTGATTTTTGTTTCCTTCTCTCTTTCACAGTGGTATATATACTCGAGAGGAGACATATTTAAGTCGCAGTCAGAGAAGCACTGGGGATAACTTAAGGCGGAAGATTTATGGTGGGGTTTTAGATATTAACAGTTTGAAGATGCTCAAGGAAAAAAGAGATATACTTTTTGTGCTCTCTTTTCTAATTCATAACAACAAACCTGTTGGCCACCAGGTATCTCTCTCACCCTCTCTAAAAAAGAAGAAAAAGAAAATTCCTGATTTGCTTTGTCCTTTTTGGCTGGCAGTGGTGGGACATTGTGCATTCTACGTGGCCATTCTGGTTATTTGTTAATGTTCCCTTCCTAAACTTTCCGTACATCATATGCTGCAGGATCTTGTCGGTTTGGTCATATCTATTCTGCTTTTAGGAGATTTTAGCTTGGTATTGCTCACATTACTCCAGCTGTTTTCACTTTCCCTGGCGGATGTCTTTCTTGTTTTGTTCATTTTACCTCTTGGGATTTTGCTTCCATTTCCTGCTGGAATTAATGCTTTATTCAGTCATGGACCTAGGCGATCAGCAGGTCTTGCGCGTGTATATGCTTTGTGGAACATCACATCTTTTATAAATATTGTAAGTGTATCGTTCACATCTGTGGTCTGATCATACTTTCATTGGGTGTGTTTTTCGCTTGCTTTTTACTGGTTATTTTTCTTTAAAGATATCATATCTAAGAGCTTGTTTGGGAGAGAGATTTCAAAAATCATTTTCCCCGAACTCATTTTCATCCACACGTTTTCCAAAAATAATCATTTTTCACATGGCCTAATAACTTTTCCTTGCTTGTTAACCACCCATTCTCCATAACAGTAATCTTCCCCCAAGAAAAATATCTTTGAAACAACACTAACATTCCTGTCGAATAGTAATGATTGTTTTAATTTCTTTTGAAATAATCCTTTTTTTTTTTTACATCTCCTTTTCTTACTTTGTTCTTATTGATTGTGTTTCTCTTTTCGTCGATCATCTGCGCACTTTCCACTTGTTTGAGGCCTCTTGATGGGAAAGATTTGATTTTTCAACTCATAGATATCAATCTAATACGCCTTGCTTGGTTTTATTGGCATACCGCAGGGTGTTGCATTTCTCTGTGGATATGTTCACTATAGCACGCAGTCAAGGAAGAAAAATCCGTACATTCAGCCATGGAATATGTGAGACAAATTACAAAATTTTCATACTAAATTCATTTTCGGCTATTTATATTAACATGCAATTGTTCTTATGCTTCCCCTATGATTTCTGATGCAGGGATGAAAGTGAGTGGTGGATTTTTCCTCTTGGACTGGTTTTATGTAAATGTATCCAATCGAAGCTCGTTAATTGGCACATCGCAAATTTGGAGATTCAAGATCGTTCCTTGTATGTTAATGACTTCGACTTGTTCTGGCAATCGTGATATATATTACGAGGAAATTTCTTCCACACTAACACCCATAATTTTTGTCATGGGTTTTGTTTTAGAGTAGAGTGATTGCCACACAAGTAGAAAGTAGTTTAATGTGAAGGGAAAAGTGAGGCATTCATTATTTAATCCCACTTTTGTGCAGTTACCATACTTCCTGGCATGTAAATATAGCAAGATGGGATATTCCCATGGTAAAAGACTCCATGTAATTTTGTATGCCCCCATTTTCCTATCTACTTAATTTTGCCTCATAATTAGTCAACACTACATTGAATTTCATGATATTGAGATGAATTTTGATGGGCAGAGCTTCCCACCATGAATAGCAATGTGATCTTCAACCTGTCAATCGTAGAAATGGCCTCAATGACTAAAATCACCTGAACTTCAATTAAATTGCGTGAAGCATTAACATGCTCAATTTTATAAACAGAATTAGATTCAATTAAGGAAGAACAGGTTCAATTTTATAAACAGCAATAGATTCAAAAAGAAAAGGAAGTTAAAATCTAGTCCACCATACCATCAAATGCTATCCAATACCGTGTGCAAAACATGACCTACAATTTTGAGGAACGAGAACACAGTACAATGCTGATACAACTTTTAATGCAAAGGTCACTAATATATTGGAAGTTAATTAAAGAAAGTCAACAAAAATGAATTACTCCTTGTTCAAGACTTTTGGAACTTTAATATAAGAATCTTCATAGCTTGGCACAGCAGCTAATATGGCGTCCCTGTTGAGGATCCAAGTTAATTTAGATGAATTGAATCATGATTTAGATCATCAGATATTAAGATCCAAACTTACAATGGAGGCATCGAGTAGAAGAAAATACCTATTCTCAAATATCTCAGGTGAATCCTCGCGCAAAGTTTCACCTTCATTATCTGTAGATGCAAGAAAGAGTTTCTTATATGATAATTCATCGTCAAGTGTTTTGGTTGGCAGGTCAAAGAAAAATGACACTATTGGAGCACAGCCATATAAAAGCACAATGAAACCCTGTATTCATTTTCAATTTATAGGGAATGTTTCGTACACTATTGGACACAACACCACATAATATAGTGAACAATATTTTAACTGTAATCATATCTATTACAGTCGAGTCCACAACATAAAACATGCCAATTTATTACAAACAATATTTTATAGTATTTGCGATCAAGTTCTACAACTGGAGTTCCAGTAGGCAATAGCCTAAACGTAAATGATTTGCTACAAATAAAGGGCACAAGGAAATGCAGAGATAGAATAAGAAATCGAAATCTCATTTTCAGATCTTTCAGTACATAGCTCAAACATTGCTGTTTCTTTGGAGTTAGATGAACTAAACAGAAATTTTATAGATAACCAAGAAAAAAAAATTCCATAACTAAATAAAAATACAACTTTAGTGTCTCAAGAACCTGCTCTTATGGCTGGCTCAACATTCTGAAGATCAACAGCCTGAAGTTGCCCAAACCTATTTCGTGAACGTAATGGTGTGAGAATTCAAATACTACTTCTATCATATAATGAAATGTGCTTAAGGATCATTACGAGTAAACCACTGAAGAATAGAGTGTGATAAAAAAGAATTTGCAGCAAATCAGAAGCAGGTGTAAAATAAGTCCAACTGAAACTCAAAGTGAGCTCACTTAATGCTAGCAGACACCATCAAATAACTGAAGATTTCTTTTATTCCAATAATCTGTTATCAACAGCGAAAACTAAGCCTTAATCCTAATAAGCGAGCATTTTGCAGATATAAATCAACAAGGTATTCAGCAACTATAACCCATGTTATTTTTTTTATCAAAAAAATGGTTTCATCTTTTACTTTGGGAACTATAACCCAGTTCAAATGCAAAATAAATTCCGCTAAGCTTCAACATCATTTTCATGTTTACATAGAAAACCAGGTCATTAATCATATATAATGGCCTGATAAAACTAGAAGCAAATAAATCAGAAATGCTAAAAGACACATCAGGCTACAAACTCCCAATTTAAGGATCTAATTAGTCTTCACAGGGTTCAAATATTGCTCTCAAAGATTGGTCACACAATGACCTCGTGATTGACATCTATTGAGGCCTTTGAATTGGTATTGTGATATAGGTCATTCTAGCATGTAGCCCTCTCCAAATCTAAATACCAGTCCCAAGCTAAAAATCCGTAACTTTCAAAGAGAACCTTGATACTGGCTCCTGTTTGGTTCGGATTAAAATCTGATTTTAATCCAAGTCGAAGTCAAACAATCAATATTAACCACATATTTCATAGGTCCCACAAATTTTCAACCACACATTTCAAAATTTTCTATCACAATCTACTAAAAATTTAATTTTAATCACCACCAAACACCCTCCTGATGTTCACTATTTAAAATTCAGGTTCAGAAGTCCAATAGTGAACTGACACGTCCTCTATTTTTTTAACTTTAGCCTTACTGAAAAAGATTGCAACCGATTTTATTATCACCATAAAAATTCAATGTTGACCTTAACATCTTTATTGTTGTTACAAGTGCAAGAGAAAGAATTTTCATAAAGCTTCATTCCACATATTTAATAACTAGAATATAAAGGATGAAGGTAGAGGGGATATTATGCTGTTGGATTGTGCTATATATACATAACAATTTACATAATAGTTTACCAATAGGAGACGTGACAATATTTAATTGGATAAAACTCTAATTAATCAAATAACTTTCCTACTTATATTTTGACACATCATCATTATGTAAAATATTACGTAACTAGCTATGTACAAGAACCATTTCTAATGTTGTTTCTCCACATCAAATAACATATTTATGAATTTGAACTAATAAATTCAAGCTTATCAAAATAAAAAGAATCATTTCCAAACTAAAGGTCTATAACTCACTTTGGATAAATCTTCATTACGAATTTTTATTAATTTCCCCCTTCCTTGCTCTAATCCTATATCCATTCAAAAACCTCATCAAAAAACTTGTATAGAGAAAGACTGCCTGCACAGTTTCCTCCCAATGGGAGTCTAGGTTAGATGGCACTAGATGACGAGATAAATGAAGTGTAACTAATATCTCATTGATTGTGCATCTAAGTGTCAATTTAAAAAAATAAAAATATGAAATGGAAATGAGTAATGCTATTTAGCCCAATGGGTTGCAACCCCAATCGAGGCGGTGCCAACAAATATATTGTTGATTCTACAAAATAATTACTCCGAATTGAAAATCTTAACCTCAAAGATATAAAAATATCACAGTTAATTCAGAAACATTACAAATTGCAAATGCCCGTGCAGATACATAGAGAAAATGTACCAGTCTATCACTTGTTGAATTTTAGGAGCAAATTCTTCAACCTACATAGAGAAAATGAAAACAAGGAATCAAAAATTTGTAAGCGACAAGTATATCGACAAAATGAAATTTAAGGGTGAATTGAGTGTGATTACTTCATGTGGGGCGAGGGAAATACGAGCTGTTTCGGCCAAACGTTGAACATCAGGAGGCTCAAGACTCGATTTAATTGCATAATTTCGATTAAAAATAAGCGCTTTTTTTGGTTTGAAGCTGAATTGCAGCGGTGTGGCTCTCACCAGGAGCAAAGCAGCTCTGCTTGCCATTGGCGTATCCAGGGGCGGAGCTAGGATTTTTGGTGGGGGGGCACAATTTACCTGATAATGAAAGTCGAGTTTTGTCCAAGTCAGTTATTCTCTGAAAGAATCTCTTCATGAGATCTCAACAATTTCAATTCAACCAACAATACCCAAATTTTAGCAATTTCAACTCAACAACGGGACAACACCCAAATTTCAACAACACCCAAATTCAACCTACAACAATACCCAATTTCTACTCA